TATCTTGGCAAGTCGATGGCGGCGCGGGCCCGATTTGGCCGACTCTCCACAACGCACCGCTTGCTAGCTCTGTCCCAGCACTCTGCATCTCTCTCTCTCTCTCTCTCTCTCTCTCTCTCTCTCTCTCTCTCTCTCTCTCTCTCTCTCTCTCTCTCTCTCTCTCTCTCGCCTCTCTAGTCTCTCTCTCGAGAGAGGAGAGGAGAGGCCAGCTGATGCTGGGATAGCCCAGTATGCGCTCCTCAAACTCTGCTCTGTGAGAGCCGGTGTAACGGTTTGTGATAATGAGACCATCACTCGCACGGTGTCACGGTCAGCCCGCGTCACATTCAGAGACATTCTCACGGTGACCAGTAGTGTCCAAACCGCCGCCAAGGTCTCCGAAATGTCACAGCACCAAACAAGATCTCACGGCGCTCCAGATGTGGAAACCCCCGAGACTAATCAATCACGTATGTGCTAATTACATCACCACACATTCAATCCGAAGCCGTATCAATCCAGAGCGTTCCGGTTAAAATACCCCACCGGAAAATGGCATTTCGAAACAAACACATGGGTGAGTTTTCGGGGTCATTTGGGCGGATTGCGCGAGTGCTGACGACTGATTGTAACGATGCCAGGCCTTTGGGGTGGCGTGCCCACACTGCACAGACTCCTGCAGTTCCGCGCGAGCTTGTGGTCGAAGCGGAGGTTGCGCTATCGTAGCAGCGAATCAGCGTTGTCCTTTTTCATTCAACACTGAGTGGGTATACGTTACAAGCTTCAGTGCGTGCAGCACACTTTCGCAACAGTCTCGAATGTCGCTCCAATGTCCTTTACGCTCGAGCGGCGCCTTCTTCGCGCCTCGTGTGGGTTCATGGCATGACGTCACTTCACGTTACCAGATGGTGGTCTGGCAGCCTTCTGGACGGTATCACGGCGATTTGGGCGATAGTGCATGTCGGTAACCACACCATAAGGCGGCGGAACGTTGTTCCAGCATGAAGCGAGAGGATTTCCAGAGTTCCAGCCTGGCGGGGCATGTTAGGTCGACTCAGTTCTACTGTGACATTTGATGTCCCTGGAACGGGCGCTGCTCGTGTAGCCCGGTTTTCGTGCGCCCCGCACTGACCGGGCTTTGGTGGCGTGCTTTCCTCCGTACATTGTTCGCCACCATTCCTGTAGCGATGACCTCACTGTGTATACGAGTGCTTGATGGAGGAATGTCACATGCAAGCGCCTCCATCCCAGCCACCCAGCCCGCGGTGCAACTCGGCTAATTTGGTTCATAGAGTTTTGTTTAGGCAACTGCGAGGTTTACATAAATTGTGATGGATGGAGACATATAACGAGATGTTTGCCAGACTGTTTATGGCTTGTATAGCACTTACTCCAGTCGGGTCTGATGTAGTTGATCAAAACACCTCCATTAAGTGTAAGGCCATTGAAGCGGCGAGATATGATGCCCGAGCATTACAGTAAACCCGATTTCCTTTTTCACATATAAACGGACGTCATTCATCTACCACGCACCATAACAGTGTCGCACGTTATTCCTGCGTGAGGCCTCTGTATGATACCACGACTCCCGGTCCGGAGAATCCCCGGAATTCAATCGGTGCTCACATAAACAGAGCCCGGGGTGACGGACACACTGGTATCTGTGAACACGCCCGGCAATCAGCGCCTGCTGAGGAGGGCAGGGACGGCCGATCGCCCCTAATAGGGGTGTCCAATATGGGCGATTGGACCGCCCCCGACCCAACCGCAGCACCATGCGGGCGGGGAGACCAGCGATCCCTCAGCGATCAGGGGAGAAAACGGTCTGATGTGGGGATTATCAAGGGGAGATGTCTGATGAGAGATTATCAAGTGACAGTCGCAGGATGAAGTCAAATTCAGAGCAATTTTTCACCACCTATGTGCTAATTGTGGTAATTATTAAACAATACGAGGGCGACATTCAATCACTGCGTATTTGGTATGGCATAATGACTAATTGATCGAGTGCATTATTCATCCACTTCAAGGTCACTTTCGACACAGCTCATTCAAAAGGCCTCACCTAATTACTCGGTGACTGATATATTTAGGGCCAAAAATACCAGAGATGCATCACAATGGAGGCTATAATCGGTTTAATTAAAATGCTCATTTGTTTTCATTTGGAGACGGTACATCAATGATGAGTGTCACAATGTGCCCATTCCGGCGTCGCATAAGAGTTAAAATATCTAATTGCTCCCATATTTCATGACAAATCTACCCTCAGTCAAATTCTGCGCTGCCTAATCCACATTAGCACTAGCGTTTGGCAATGCTAATTAGCTGGGAAACTGACATTACTGTAGAGTTGCACACTATTCCACGCTTCCTATCTATTCAGTTCGTCATCACTGCAATGTGACTTTCAAAATTGTCCCAATCTAAGAACAGAATGGGTATGAAAGTTTGTGGCGGTATGTGCAATGTGCAAAATCGTGGAAATTAGCTCAGTAGACACTTGGAAATTCATTCGCGATCTGCCTCAATACCTTTCAGCTTGGGCTGTAGATTTGGCTCACTAAAACACTCATATCAGAGCTCCGTCTTGTTTAACATCATTCTTACAAAACAGCCCAGATGATGAAAATGGACTCGCAGATTTCCAAAGCTCCAAGAACTGTCGTTTAAGTTCAATGATCATCTAAGTAGGAACGGGTACCTTAAAAAATATGCACATAAATAAGCAGAATGTAAAGGTCTGTCGTAATGTGCACAACTATAAATGCACACGGATATATAAAGATCACCCATCATCCATCCTAACATGTTTCAAGTAAGGAGACCAAGAAACATGAACGTCTCACTACCTGGAGTAAAGAAATATTTGCGCACATATTACGTCGCCAACAAAGGTGACCGGGGCGACCTACAGAGTGAATCCCTTCCAATGACATCACCCATAAGACACATGCGTAACCCTTCACCTAATGCGGTCACCGCTGATGGGACCCAGCTGTTCCACCCGCCGTCGTCACCCATTGATCTCCACTCGGCGCCGGAGTCGACCCGTCCGTACCGACGGCCCACCTGTCAGCCGACGGGTCGCGCCGTGCGCACAGCTCAGTTCCGGCTCCGGACCGCCGGGTGACCCAGAAGTGGCGTGCACTCGTTACCTCGTCCTGCACTGACAGCCGGCTGGCAGCCTGCCATGAGAGCTGCCGGCTGGGTGGGCTGGAGGCGACCCGTGTGCGATCATGCGGTTATTGTGTCACTGGCACGACACGACCGGGCAATACTCTGTTCTTCGCGAAGAGTAGCTACGGATACACTACAGCGGATGGTTCCGGAATCCGGATGCATCTGGTGGAATAATGTGATTCCGGCCCTTGAACAACAGGGAGCATTCGGGCCTTTAAATTGAGTGCTAAACAAGTTCAGCCCATTCCTGCGCTACTCTTTTGTTCTAAAGCGGGACTGCAACAGCAGACCAAAAACGAATCACCAGTCTGGCAGATCAACCGACGAGGAACGTTTGAGGCGCCAGGTGTTATTCCAAAAAAACATTTGTTGGAACTTACAAACAAACTAGCAAACCAATCCAGTCAGCTTGCACCAATTGACATGGACGGCTACATCGGCACGTGCCTCGGCAAACTCTATGCCACTACGTGGCCTGGCAACACCAGTGGGTCACTTGTCGACGTCAGACACTGTGCTCTCCTGTTATACTGCAGACCGTGGTCGGAATAAGAGCCCATGTTCGGCCGCAGTCCGTTGAGAGCGGAATGACCCCAGGCGGGCCGCACCCTGGCACCCCGGTACACAAACACAGCAGTGGAAGTTGTTTGGTGATGGAGTGACTCAGGTCAAGAGGTCCTGCAACAAAAGCAAACACACTTCACCCCTTCGACCGTGAAGACAGTTCGTAAACAGTACCATGTTGCAAACAAATGACATCCGTCTACGAATCCGGTCACCAAGATGAGACGCGACCTAAGTCAACTCTCTCAATGTTAATGTGCAATTTGCGCGGCTGCCCAAACCTTACTCGCAAACCGTTGTCTTGAGCATTGAGCAAGCTCTCTCTGACCGAAAAGGCTCGGTCGTCTCGGGTGACCCGGGGCCGCTGTCAGCAGCGGCGGCGGTAGCGGCCCGGCTCCATACATGGCCCGGCGGTCGCGCTGCGAGCCTCGGCCTCCAGAAGCTTCCACAGCCCGCTGAGCTGGCGCGGCGATCCAGCGATTGTCGTGGAAAGAAGCGGCGATTTCCCGGCGAGATGTCTGGCCTATATCGACCTGAGTCACGGGTGGCGCGGTTCTCGGAGAGGGCCCCGGCGCTGTCACATGTTTCTGCACGCCGCACTGGGAGACGACAGCGCCTCCCCTACAAACATGCAATTTACAATATAAAAGTACGATCCAGAGCCAATAATGAACGTCATAAAGTGGATTCTAACCATTCGATCAGAAATATCTGTGTATACTCTGGAAACTGCCACCACATTTTGCGGCGCCAAGTGACTCAGTTACCTACAACCCAAACGACTTTATAATTTTCAGAACTGCTCGACTCTGATTGAGCATGCTAGAGGAATACGTGGCATGCATTCCAGCTTACTCATCCATGAGAAGGTGCAATTCCTTGTCGGCGCAAAAGGAAAATACTCGAGAATTATGCTTAACGAGCGGTCTCTTTATGAAAAGACGACAATGATTACACTGATGTTTTTAATAATAAAAAAACATGATATGCCTTCATTTCCGATTGATGGAGAGGTCGCATAAAGATATAATCTTTCAAAGGAAAACTGCGAAACATATGTATGCTCTTCAATATCAACATAAACTTCTGACCACGTGATTATGCAGGAAACGATATAATTATAAATGAATAATGGCAGCTACATTAGAACAAGAAGATCAAATATCGTTAGAACATGCAACATTAACCCTCTCACTACCACATCCATCTTCTTTAATTGTTTTTTCTTCGAGCCACGTGCCTAATTGTGACCGGCCGTTCTCCTCTGCCCACAGCGCTGGACAAAGGGAACGTGACCGTTCGCGAGCAGATCTTCAAGCTGCTGACGGCGCTCTGCTACTACAGCAATGAGGGCTACCAGCGCACCCTGGACGCCCTTCAGCGACACCGGGTGAGTACTTATGACGGCGGACTGCACTGCCCGTGGGTCACCGCCCCCCACCCACGGCAGCAGCGGCTCCTGGTTTAATTAGGCGAAACGAGTTGCATGGCGTAATGCAGGTAAGGAAAGGGAACAAGTTATTGGAAAAATTAGCGCCACGACGTCACGCACATGGTGTGATAATGCTATCATGACCACGCATCAGTTCCCGCAGTGCAGTGAACGTTTCAGTTACCCGGTGAGCCGCACGCGATGCGCAGATCCGTTAGATGGTTAACTGATCCACATTCATACACGTTAGGGCCTTCTGTGCGACAGACAATGTAGGAACGATAGAACACAATGCAATCCGTTAGCACGTCTGTCAACAGACAGTTACCTACCTGCAGCAGCCGTTGTTTCCCACATCCGCCCCGGTCTGGCGCGCCGGCGGTGGCTGTCCTCAGGGCAGTGTATTAGGCCCCTTTTTTCTGTCTCAGGACCTGCGGAAGGAGCGGTACCGGTTCAGGATCGTCGTGGAGGAGCTGCGGAACGCGCAGTCGAGCAGCTACCGGACCACCCTCATGGCCTTCATCAACTGTGTCATCAAGAGCACGACTGACGTCAAGGAGCGTGTCACCATCAGGAACGAGTTCATCGGTAAGTCGGAGGACCGGGCGCGCCGACCCAAGCTGGACGGCGGACTTCGGACGTCTGTTTGTCTTAGCTTGTGGGACTTCGTGGCATGGCAATGAACGCGGCGGTTACAACCCAGTGCCTGTTGAGTAATATTGAGATCTAGGAACGATGGCGCAAACACCAGCTCAACAAGTGCGTTAATTGCTTCGTTAGAAGAACACCGTGTATCTTCTTGCGGTCTTTTTGCTGTGGCGACAGATCACTATTCGCCAACATGTTTTACCAACTCAAATAACAAATCAGCAGCATACACAAACTATCGCCAGTCATCTGAACTGACGCCGCGACGCCGCGAATCAACACTACATCAACACCTGGTCATCCCAGAAAACCGGCTGTCCCAATACACACACAGAGCCGCGCCGGTCTGAGGCGGGCCGGGCCCGCTCCCGGCCCGGTTCAGAGCGGTGGGCGCGTCTGAGACCGCTCCGCTGCCGGGGTCATCCCGTGTGCGCCGGTTAGACCTTCGGGAGCCGGCTGGGTAACAGCTTTTTCAGCCCGTCTGAACCGCTGCATAGACAGGTGCTGGTCGCGCCGCCGTCCTTGGGGTCCGGCTGGTGCCCCCCCCTAACCCCCCCCCCCATCTACACTCGCAGCCGAATACTGCGGCAATTGACTCTCACCTGGACAGAAGTAGATGCGTCTATAACAACAAACAAAGTCCAACACGCTGCTTCTCGGTCTGACTCATTGAAATCACGTGCATATGGAATCGTTGTTGTGATTACAAAGGGCAGGTAACTGAGTCATAGCGCGTGATAATATGTTCACAGGTCGAATGCTTAGATTAGAGTTATTGCATGACCAAGTTGATAACAACTCTTCTCCCGCATTTCAAGGGTTAACAGCACAAAGCCAAATATCTAGCATCAAACTATCAACAGATGGTGCATTATCAAGCCCCTTAATGATATCTACCCGGTGTAACAGCACTCAGTCGTGGATGATTGACTTCATGGCCGTCTTAGACCTAATGCTGAAAAGTGACGGTAATAACATGCTTAACAGTGAGTCATTTAGAGCCAAACACAATGCTTTTTGGGGCTGCTGTAATCCAGTAAACAGTAATCCATCCGTGTCATTCAAACTGTACGATAATGATTAAATGCAATCATCATGAGATCAATAAATTATGCTCAGTCGCTGACAGTATCAGACGTACAAATTACCCTTCATCGGATGACAGCTTCGAATGTTTATAATTTGCCAGCAGCTACGATAGGCCGTTAGATATCGGTGACTTTTGTTCATGAATAATCGCCCTGGTCTGTCGAGGAATCGCCCGACCGTTCGAGGTCCGAGCAATCAGTTCAGCTCCGCGCTACATTATGACGCCGAGTCTTTGGGTACTGTGAACTGTGTCAGGCCGGTATCGCAGTAGTTACCTCAAGTCATGGTGTTTGCGATCGATGACGGAACAGATATCAGTGCCGATAACCTGATACGGCTTCGACGCAGCTGGTTTTTCATCTGACTCATCGCAGTATTTTTTCTCTCCTATCCATTGATATCACCTCACACGGAGAGGTGACAACGTACTTCGTAAGGATTCTAGCTAAGCTGTCGTAAACTTTACCAAAAATATTAAAAGCAATTAAGTGACAAATTAAATACCCAACAGTCCCCCCCAAAAAAATCACTTGTTAGTGGACGCCCAATGGCACCACCCAAAACTGGGCTTGAGCCGGAGACTTCTGACTGACATCCACCCCCCCCCCCCGCAGGTCTGAAGCTGTGACCTATGACCTCGTGACCTGCGACTGACACCCGTCTCCTCCCCCGCAGGTCTGAAGCTGCTGGACGTGCTGAACACGCTGCGGAAGGAGGCGCGGCCCGGCTCGCAGCTGCAGCAGGAGCTGGAGGCGTTCGACGAGCAGCGCGAACAGGACGGCGCCGAGCTGGCTCCCGGCTGTCGGGTGGACCTCAACTCGCCGCTGGACGTCTTCTACAGCGTCTACGACATGGTAAGGACCGAGACAAACAACAGCGAAACCCGGGAGCCATAGTGGGAGGGCAGACGGAGCTCTGGGAAGTCTCTCACTTTCCCGGTTAACCGTCTTGCCTTGTATTTTTAAAGCAAAATACGGAAGGCGAATCTTGAAATAGGAGTATCTATTCCTGAATAACAATAAAAGAAACATAGATCCCTTGGCGGGCAAGAAAATAATCAAATAATGCATCAATGGAGCTCGAATCCAACGTTACAGTTTGGGAAACTGAAGTTTTTAGTTCAAACGGGTTATCATAGGTGCACATTCCATAGCATTCGCATTGTTTTGGGGACTACATTTTTGAGACACGGAGTTTGACAAATATCTTTTGCGGCACCATATGGAGGATCTCGGTTATTGACAGCTAACGATTGATCAGGCATCTGAAAACTCTCGACGGGTTTCAGCTCCGTGATACCTAAGCCGACGTATCATGTCACCAAATGCCTCTGTATCCAGGTGTATGCCTATTGACGGTTCGTTCATTGCTTGGGTGTTTCAGCTCGCTTACTCATTGCTTAGGTGTTAGTGTCGAAAATCACAAGTTGAAATTCCATCGCCAAGATTGCTTCAGATGTCATTCAGGTGAAATGCAAGCTAAAAAAGTTATAGCAAAATTGTTTGCCCGCATGATTCGCAGAATTAAAGGGCATAAGTGTAAGTTCCAAATCTACGGATAAAGCGTATAAGTTATGGCGTGACTATAGATAGCGGACATAACTTTTTGGGGTCTCCACACATTTTCAATGCCTATGATTTTTCCCCTGTGTTGCAACCGTTCCAAAAATATTAACAATAAAGTAGTGAATCGTTGCCACAGCTGCAAAACGCGAAAGGTTTTAAAATGATGCAATGCCTTAGAGTTGGATACCTTTTTCAGTGAATTAAAACTAAAATACTCTCACGTATACGTCATTGCAAAACGTCCTCATCCGCATAGCCCTATATCTTCAACGCAATGAGTCAACACAATGGATCGAGTGCAATGCAGGTCGCTTTTTGCAAGCCAACTAATAAATCATCATCCATTTTTACGCTGCGATTTTTATGTTCCAGCAGATTGTATCTGCGTCTTTGCGTTGGACACTGTCTGATATTGGGGTCGCGCTGCGGTAGGCAGTTGCGTCCGTCCTGGTTTTCGCACATGAATCAGTGATCCGCTCCCATGGTGTCGATGGGTGGGCTGACCAGCGCGGACCGGGCGCCGTTTCAGGTGGCCGACACGCCGCAGGAGATCGCCTTCCTGGCGATCCTGCAGCACCTGCTGCGGATCGACCCCAAGGAGCCCATCTCGGACACCATGTGGGACACGGCCGAGACGCTCGTCTACCGCGCCACCCTGCTCGACTCCAAGGAGGACTCCAACAAGCTGCTCAAGACGCCCAGCCACCACAAGGGCCTGCACCGGCTCAAGTCGGTCGACGCACGGAAATCGTCCGTGGTCGAGATCAAGGCGGACGCGGTGGATGCGGCTCCTCAGACGGGGGCGCCGCCGCCACCTCCACCTCCGCCGCCGCCTCCTCCGCCTCCGCCGCCGCCCCCGCCCGGTGGGGGTCCGCCCCCGCCCCCGCCACCTCCTCCGCCCGGCGGGGGTCCGCCCCCGCCGCCGCCCCCGCCCGGCGGCCGGCCCGCGGCCACCAATGAGGCAGAGAAGGTCACCCTGCCGCAGCAGACCACTCCGAAGCCGGCCTCAAAGATGAAGACCATCAACTGGAACAAAATTCCAAATAGCAAGGTACGGAATAGCGGCGTCATTTCGAGCGGCAATTATCCCATACGGACGGATAATCAATCTTGACACGACTTTCCCGCGCACGATACACATGTTGCCAGTGGTGCGTTGAGGATACGAATGTAAACATCAATTCACCATGTCAGAAGCACCGTTTGCTTTCCTTGATATTCCTAGCAGCAATCGGGTGTTCAATGCGGTACTTCCTTGCAGCACTGAGTCAAAAGACTAGCAGTTTCAGCACAAACAAAATCGCAAAAAGCCCAACCTTTTTAAGTTACCCAAGCTAAAGTTCCATATTCAACACATGAAGGTGCATCACTTGATTGACCAATAATCGTTTCACAAACATTAGCTCGTCAGAGCAACCCATATCAACTCATTTATTCAACATACACGTGTTTTTCGGCGACGTCTGAACGTTTTTTTTCACACCGCGTCTGCCGTCAGGTCGTTGGAAAGAAGAACATCTGGAGCCGGCTGGCGTCCAAGTTCAAGTCGAAGCCGATGCCGGAGCCGGACTGGAAGCACCTGGAGGGGCTGTTCTGTCAGCAGGCGCCCGTCCAGCCCAAACCGTCACCGCAGACACCGCAGGAGAGCCAAAAGAAAAAGGAGTCCAACGAGGTGAGAAAAAGGGCTCGAAGGAAGTAAGTCGGGTACAGTGTGCTGATTACGCGACTGAACGGCATGGTATGCGCCAAAACCTTAAGCAAATTTCATTATTCAACGATTTTTGCCATCTGTACACGCGTTCTTAACCCAAATGTGCATTTTGATGTAAGTATAATTGAACGGTATCTTTTAAAATTTAAAATGATTAATAGCTGAAGGAAAATTCGTCGTGATGACCGTCCCGGAGCTCGATAGCTTTTCAGCTGTAAAAATAATAATAATAATCTGATAGCCGCCGTTTTCCGGTTCACAGGTGAACCTATTCGACGGCAGGCGCAGTCTCACCATCAACATCTTCCTGAAACAGTTCAAAAAGTGAGTACCGACAGTGTTTTAGCGGTTTTCCTTTGAACTAGGTTTATATTCAGTAGATAATTTACGCCCTGCTTATCTGCTGCTAATTGGAAATCCTGGAAATTAATGCGTCCAGCACAATTGTTACTATTATTTTGCGGAAATTAATGCTCTGTTTCCGGCCCTTTCGTGAAGTTAAAAACAAGTCAGCCGTTATATTGATTATTTGTTGCTGTTTGTCTTCCTCTTATATCATTTTGGAACGCTAAAACTAACACGGGATGGTGGAGTAAAAACATAAACAGTCACCCCATTCTTGTGACGAAATACGTTGTGCAGTATGCTGTGTGGGGTCCGCTGTGGCCGGGGTGAGTCACTAACCGATTGCGCACAGCCCGCGCCGAACAGCGTATCTGCTGGTCTGACCGGGTCCGACCGGTCTCTGCTAGCAGCAGCCGTAGTGGTCTCAGAGGATGCTTCGCCGACGGGAACGCTGGCGATATCGGCATATCAAACATTCGCATTATAAACAACCCCGTATCGAGATAGGATCTCGGCGTACGCGGCAAACCAGCACCGTGTCTCCGGACCGAGAGCCGCTTCTCGACGCGGAACTGTCATCATTTTTAACGAATCGCGGCCGCGGGCCCATAGGCCGTCCGCGTGACACTTGAAGTGGCCGCGGGACCACGCCTCGGGCTCCAGTTCCGAGCTTCCGTGTCGGTCCGGGCACGTTCGGCTGGCGGGCCGAGTCAGGGTCGCGTCGCCGGCCTGCTCTCCAGCCGGGTCGGCTGGCGGCGCGAGTCCTTCACGCGCCGTGACGGAGCGGGGTGGAGTCCGACGGGCCGGAGTGGCTCCGGGCGCGGCCGGCCGCTGCACATACACCGGCCGACCCTCAGTGGCAGTATGCAGATTATGATGAGTCACCGGCACCCTCACCGGCTCTGAGGGCCCGGCACACCGCGCTCTGCCATCACACCTGGAGAAGTGTCTCCTTGAAACCGACACTGCTGACCGGCACCCCAGCTGACCGGCGCCCCCGCTCTCCTCGGTCCCGCTGACCGTCGCCTCACTAACTGCCGCCCTCGCTCACCGTGCGCTGCTCAGGTGCAGCAGATGAATGGGGCTCTGATGGCGCGGATGTCGGACACCGCGCGCTCCTCCCGTGCATTGTCACACCACCTCTCGCTCCTTTGTGACCTGCGCCCTTGGCGGTGATCCATTCGTTGTCGCCGTCGTCTGATCAATGCGCGGAAGGGCGGTCGGCGCCGTTCCGCCCCCGCTGAGCGATGTCAAAGCGCGAGCGGTCACATGGTCTGTCCCCGGTAAATAGCAGTCCGTCTGGTCCCGGTCCCAACAGGGGAGGAAAGCAGCGGACCTTCGCCCGTCGCCAAACAGCCAGCCCAATGCATCTTAACCAGGTCTCTCGGCCCTTGAAGCGGCCTCATTTATTATTCCACTTTCCCGGACTCATGCCTAATGCTCATTCCTAAACGGTTGTCTTGGGATGCGACTATTTGCACTCATCTTCGTATGGCCAAGGTAACAACTTTCCACTTCACACCATTCACTCATTCGCTGAACAATGGCGTCTAGTCCCACGAAGCAGCGCGCTCGCCAAGTTAGCGCAGTCTGCACTCAGCCGGTGAGCAATGTCTTGGTATGTACCGTGACCGTGGGGCGGAGCCCGTACCCCGTCCGGGCGGAGGCGGCGGCCACGGGGCGCTGTTTACCGGTGTCGGGGTTCAGACCCGGGGTCAGCCCCTCCGTCACAGCCGTCCGACAGTGAGAGTGGGGCCAAGGTCGTTACTGGGCGCCCGGTGGGCGTCAGCACGCCCCTGTATTTACCACCGTACCTGTACCGGTACCGGGGCGCCCCTGTGTCGGTACCGGGACGCCCCTGTGCCCGGGACGCCTTGGCTGCTCCTCCGAAGGCCCCAGGGCCCCTCGGTGTGCCTCCGCTATGGAGCGTGGACGGCTTTCCTTCTCAGAGCCTGACGTCAGAAGACACACGTCAATGGCATTTGACGTCATTATGGAAATTGACCCCATGCCATTTTCATAACAGAACCGGCCGAACAAAGGGAATTCCTAAAAAGATCGCGATACCGATTCTTTGCAAAAATTCTATAACAGCTGGTTAACTGCTGAAAATAACGATGCAATAAACATGAAAGATCGTGTACTGCGCCTGGTGATTACATTACGCTAATATAGTAAATTATCGTTTCTTACAATATAGTTTCTTGGCAAGTCTACTCGGTACTGTTCGGTAGGACTAGGCATGCGAATGTTGGTAAGATGCCCATAAACTATCCATCGAAGTGCACCTATGTATTTACTACCTAAATACGCAATAAAACGATCCAATTATTATTGTGGCAACTTGCACAGTGTTTTATTGCTTTACAAATGCACCATTTATAAAAAGAATCTTGGCGTTTATTTCACTTGCAACACCTGCAACACCGGAAATACCGGCGCTGATTGTGCGTTTTATCAAACTTTATGCGTTTCGCATGTAGATTTCTGATGACTGATAAGTACCACATCCTTCGCTCTCCGTAAACAGGCTGCAGCCATCGGGCTCGTCGCCGAGTCCGCCTCCTGAGGCCCGTCTGTGCACTTCCACACCTTTGTTTTACCATTTACGACTCATTGTCCGCCGGCCGGCGCCCCGGCAGCCCGCTGAAAGGCTGGGACGGCCGCCTCGCCCCGGCAATTCCGCCCGCTGTCAGCGCCAAGGCCGCGTCATTTCGGCCGTCTGATCACAACTGGCAACACAGGCGCTACGCGATGCCGGATTAGCATAGTGCGCGGAGGGTCCGACGCATCTCTCGCAGATTGTTTGTGAGAGTGCGTGAGGGTGTCTGTGTGGTCTCCTCGTCCCTTTCCGTCGAGGACGAGTGCCTGTCCGTGGATAGCTGCGCTTTGACGTTAAGTGCGTTTGCTGTCACTGGCGAGCAGCCGACCCGACAGCCAAATTTATGTGTTTGGCCGCAATAGATGTATGCATACCGTTATTTGCGTTGATATGGTTTCTTATCGGCACTAATATCTGAGGCACCGATATAACTGAAATAAGGGTCGCACGGCGGTGCCGGTTTGATGACTTCGGCCAAGCGGCACGAGGCGTTTGCGGTGCCGGCTGGCCGCCCCAGCTGTACACCTCCCTATGACACCCGCAGTGTCTGAGGATCTGTGTGACACCGAGCAGTGTCTGAGGATCTCTATGACACCGAGCAGTGGCTGCGCCCCTTCAAGCCAGTCCCAAGGTCCGCCGAGCCGAGCTGGAGGCGCGACGCCCCGGCCTTGACACGAGCTCCGGCTCCGCTGCCGTGTCGCCACTGCCATATAAGGCATGTCCAAGTAAAAAACGTGCCGCCGCGCACGGGGCGCGTACGAGCCGCAGCCACACAGGCTGAGCTTTACTGGCCTTGTCTGTTGAAGCCGGCAGGAGCGGCTCAGGCGGCGGCGCGCGGCCGAGGGCCAAGGCCTGCCGCGGCGGGTCAGGCGCTGCCGCCGCGCCGGTGGGAGATAGAGGTCATGAGCTGGCGCCCGCAGCTGGTTGGCAGTCGGAGCACGTTCCGGCGAGGTCTGTCGGCCAGTATCAGCGGCCGGCGACCTTCGCAGCGGTGCCGGCACCCGGTCACCTGGATCTCCGTACGTGCCGCGCATGGCTCTTCCTGTTCCGTACCTACCCGCCAACACCACCCGGTAGAAGTAATTATCAGGCATGAACCATCAAAATAGACGCATTTTCGGGTGACCGAAATGGGCATATCTCATTCTTTGTTTTAAACTGTACCGGCTCTAAAGAAAATATCAAATGCTTGCATCCATACAGAACTCCGAAGCGGGAATCCAATATAGGTCAGGACTCCGATGGCTATCGAGCGTTGGCATTGGAGAGTTATCTCGGCTGGCTCTACTGAGAAGTGATTCGTCTGTCTACTTCTCTGAAGGCCATCATCTCAAAACGGGGGGCGCGCTGTTTGGAAGCCATTGGAAACTGGGGCACGGCTCGGTGATAATATCTCAAGCAATCTTGCTGTGTTTCAGTGAAACAATCGCTCTTTGCGTCCTGCTATACAGGGTCACGCCTTAGTACCTATAACAAGGCGCAAAATCAGTCGCCTTCTTATCTGATCTTTCTGAAAACGCATACTACTTCAATATCCGCAGAGATCGAGCACCATTGAATTTGCCAGCATGCAGCAAAACATATAGGTATTCATGTTTTTGGCCACCAACATGAAACTCCCTGGGTCTGGACATCCGATGTCCGTTGGAACCACACCGTATGCCAGCGAAAGTACGTATCACATGCCATACATAGCTAGACGCCGCCGCTGCTCATTTGTTTTCATGCTGCGAACGGAATGATTGATAGGCCTTGTTGTCCGGATGAAGATAAGTTTCTCCGGTGAAGCCACGTATTTCGTTATTTTCCCAATTTGTCGTTACAACGTTGTACGCTGCTTGTACGGAATTTTAGTCATTTAGACGAAGATGTATTGTCGCAGCCTTAACAAAGTTGTTTGTGTTGCTATAGGCGATGGAAGGGAAGTGTTTGCGTGATTTGCGATTCCAGCTTCATTAGCCCGGCGGTGTCACGCGGCTTGCGGTGCTTGTTACACCGTATACGGTGTTTCACCTGAAGGCTGAAGCCACTGATAAGCCTCTACCGCACCGCAGCACATGCATGCTAGCGATGCATGCTGTCGGACACCAATGAAACGCAAAAAGGACATTCCACGAGCACTGGCACGTGCCATGGCGTCCGTCACAATTTCATTGGGAAAGCAAGACCAAGAACCGTCAGGCAGGCATACAAATTGGAGCAGGTTTCAGTGAGATGCTGATCCATTCATCCATCGACTGGCGGTGTTGACCTAATGTGGATGATAATTATGGTCTGCGATGCAAATACTGCAGAGAAGATGTTTCAGGACCAATTATAATATCAACCGCCTGCAATGACTGCTGACCTTCTGAACAGGGGGAGACAAAGCGAAGGCAAGAGAGGGGCAGAGCGGGGGGGGGGAGGAGCAGCCGTCCTCCCGACCGTGACCCATACAGCGCGACACGGGTAGCCCATGATAAATGACCTGTGGAATGGGCCCCAGCACCTTGACGGCGGTGCCTGGGACCGAGGGTCACGCCATCCACCGGCTGAGGGCTGCTGATGATGCGGACATGGTGACCCGTTCCGGTCCGTGCTGGAAGAGGGGCACTGTTCTGGGGATCGAACCGCTCAAACACAGCTCAGCCGAACTGCTGAAATATTTACGAAAGCATGACGAGCGAGACATTCCTCGTCCTTTCGCACCGGCCGGGACATGCCTGTAATATATAGGTTAAGGTCCTGAACAGACTTCTCTCCCTCGGAAGGGCGGGATTTTGTGTCACTATCCTACGGCTCCAGCACTCCCCGGAACAGAAGCCTCTCTGATGACGTCACACAAGAGATAATGCAGAGAGTGATGGGTTGTCGTTGGCCGTATGATGACAGGAATATTGTGACACGAGACGAGACCGGATGACGTGAGAAAGGTGTGGTATTAGATCATCTTCTTAGACGTGTGAGGTCACGGTGACCTAAATGTGAAAATTTACTTAGGTAAGGTTTATTTTACTTAGATATTTTAGAACCTAGATTTAGACTCTATACTTATTTATTAAGACAAACAAAGTCCAGTAGACATGCCTACCTGGGAGATGAAGCTATTTAATTCCCGTTGAAGTGAATACCAGCCTGAGGGCACAAACTGTCTGTGACATTGCAAAATGTGGAAACATTGCACACACTATTGTTACTCACAACTGCAATCGTCCTAGGCTTAGGGGAGCCTGTAAGCACCGAGCGGTTGCTCAGATTGTCGTGGTGAAGTTGAATCGAGTGTCAGCAACGGCAATGCCACATAATCTGCAGCGATCGATTGCATCCATCTCGTTGCTGCATTGAGCGACAAGCCTTCATTGGCAGTCATCATCGATACATTAAAGGAAATAGTTCACTTTCACGAAATTATTTTTTTTTGCAACGATTTATTATTTTTTATGTTCAAAATAATCAGGAAAGAAAATAAAACCTTTTTATAACAAAAGATTTTTTTCTATATTTTGATATAGGAAGAACTTTTCAGTTTCTGTAAGGCACAGCGATCCAGTATGAAAAGAGCATGGGTCCCGAAAATTCTTCAGAAACAGAGAAATTATCGCAGCCACCGGCATTTGCATAGATATAAAAGACTAGATGGGACATTGGCAGTGTTTTAGTGCGTGCGACTGGCAGCCATGTTTGTGAGGGCGGGAATCTGCGGCGCTGTGTAAACACTACGGGAGGAGGGGGGTATTTGAGACTGATTTTGTGGTATTTTTCGACCGAAAAGTGCTAATCTTTTTTGCTCACGGCATTCTTTGGAATGTGTAGATTGTGGAACAAGTGCTGAAATATGCTTATCTATTGTAATTTGGCTACGTGAGCCTTAGACATGTTGCACTGTTGACGCTGATGAAGAATAGGCGGCACCAAAGGTAGATTTGCTTGGCATGCCTGTTTTAGATTTAATTCAGTTCCCATGTTTTTTTTGTGCACACCACAATGCTTTAATTATTCTTGCATGGATAGAGCATCAGTCATATGATTTTTCACAAAGAAAGCTTACCTAGATAGGTACCAGAACATTGGCAGCAGCGGAAAGCAGACTCATTACCTACACTTGCTTTGCCTGCTCACTTTCTACTGTTGCCTTCAATGGACAATATTTATGAAGTAAGAAGGTTTTATGATTATAGGTTTTAAATAAGTACTTTACTTAATGTCATCAGTTAGTATTAAATAGTAGTTCAGTGCCAAACGAAAAATCCATGCACTATGCCAGATGCCTCGGGGGCTCTTATCCTCTCTGGGTTCAGAGTGCAGTGGCATACCATGCTCACCCTCAACCAGAGCTGATAGATAGTGAAAATGCCAGACGTGATATCTGCACCAGTGAACCGTGTCGCACATTTGATCCCAATAATGAACGGCACAGGGGTGACGTAAAAATGTGCGTTAGTTGGAGCACCTAAACTCAGATTGTCATTACCTAATTAGTTTTCACATTGTAAAGCTTAAACTACACTTCATGCTCTTTTGGCTCACCTGTTAGCAGTATCAGTAAATAGGGTATTAGTAAATCTGGCATTACCATCATTGCTAAGTGCTAACAAGTAAATATGAAGTCCAAGGAAGATAAAAATCATAATCTTACTTGACCTAACCTTACCTACTAACCTAACTAACCTACAACCTACAAACCTCAACCTACATACAACCTCCATACCTACAACCTACCCACCTACAACCTACCAACCTTATATGTGCCAACGGTGGCACCAGATTTATGGATACCCTTATTTGTTAGGTAGGTACTTCACTCCACTTCTCATTTTATTTGAAGCTCATTTAAATTCTTGTATTTAAGTCTGTGTAAACTATTATTTTAAAAACCTGATGCTTTTCCATGACTGTAATCTCACTGTTTGCTATGTGTATTTTGTAGTGTGTACTGTGTGCAAATTCATTATCCTACACTTGTATGCTACAGGCCTTGTTTTGATCTGACTAACTGTTAATATGTTTCAGCTTTAAAGACTAGTATCTTTTGAAATTGAAATTTGCCTCTCAGTCTCTCAAGAATCAAGATGCCAAATAGATGTGCAGGATTTGATTGCTGACAAACCAGGGATGAGGCTCAAGAGTCAAGAGATCACCCTGCATTGGCAAGTAAAAGCTACTGACTCTTGATTTTTTATATTGTTACAGGTTATCTGTCACCGAGAGCGATTGCTGTAGTTCAATTTCTTGCATCAAAATTGGCAGAATATGACTTCCCTGATCACTCTGACGTCATTTACGGCCGACCTATGGTAGCTACACAATTTTTATTTCTATAAAGTGTTTCAGATTGATGCAGCCGAAGGTACTGCAAGTTTCGTATTGACACGTCTAGTGGTTTAGAAATATTGCAACAAATATATATTTTAATTTTTTCAATATATAAATGTAAATATTTTATTGCAGAAAACAGGAGAGGGGCTCTGTACAGCCCCACCCTCCAGTCATGCGTGGGTAAAGGCCCATCAGTCACTAAAACCAGAATAAGTGCAAAAAATTATTACCAAATGCCCGGAGACTGCTTTACCATTGCCAACATGTGTGTGTGTGTGGGTGTGTGCGTGTGTGTGTGTGCGTGTGCGTGTGTGTCAACAATGTGTTAACAACAAATACAACACAATTGTGCCTGGCGTATGTTAACACTAAACACTATTAGCCATATTTTATTGATACTAATCGAACCTTCCAGGTGGCTGGAACAACCCCAGTGCCGCACAGTTCTGCGGGATATTCCGGCACCTGCTCCACCGCTGCGGCGTCCGGCCCGGCAGCACAGGGAAAGTGGCAGCCCTCGACCCGACCAGCATCCTGGCAGTCGGTCACACGACCAGCGGACGGGGAGCCAGCCTTACTACCTCGGCCTCCACCACCTCAGACAACGGTGCCACGGCACTCCACATCATCACGGAGCACGACTTCCAGCCTGGGCTGTCGTCTGGTGGGCAACATCGTCACCTACATCGCAGGGTTCGTGGTGAAGAAGGCGCTCGACTCTGTCAGCTGTTGCACCTGTCAGGAGGCCCTGGTGAGCGACATCCAGCCGGACGACATGACACAGCTTTACCACCTCTTCATCATCTCTGCCAGATGAGCTAAGGTGGGGACGGGTTACATGCCTGGGATCTGACTGAGACCCGCTCATACCCTGCCGAAGTGTTGGTGATTTCAGCGGTCAGCTGTCTCTAGCCGGTGTCAGTGAGTGGCGGCCAGCTGCCGCTGGAGTGGGTATCTACCGTCGATAGCTGCTGTGTGGCGGATAGCGTGGATTTGGATGGACACTTCATATTAATGAACAGATCAATGTCTGGCCGATAAAAAACGTATTTTGTCGATGATTGCTTAGTGACTGAGTGGGTCCACTGGCGACCAATGCAGTGGGCGCTGGGTTAACGCCTCGCCTCTTGTGACCGCCGATTCGTTGCCGGCCGTCTCTGCTCCGTGGCTGGCTGATCCGGCACAAACTGGTGTTCGTGGCTGAAGGCGCGGCTACAGTTACACTAGCTCGCCACGTGCCTGTGCGACTATCGTCGGTGCTGTCTGCAAGGGCGATGTCGGTGCCTGTAGGGGGCGCGGATTGATTCAAAGTGAGGAATGGGTCATCGGAGCTCGGGTCAGGTCATGTTCGGCTAAAATAAGCGGATTTTGCGATTTGCCGCATCCGGGTGAATTTCCTTGCCTTCTAGTGCATGTTTATGCATTTTACATGCGTTTTTTTTTAGTGTTGATGTCTAGATAACGTGCATTTGCCTCGAGGTCAAGGCTGCGCTTCATATGGGCAGTTTTCGGAGCATCTTGCTCATTTTATTCGTAATCCTTAATTATGTTTGCGGATTTGTGCCCGCAAATCATTTTTTTAAAGTAAGATTGACACGGGATTCGAGATCGGCGCCCATAAATACACTTCACATGACCCGCCATGTGTCAAGGCCATCCGAGGTCATCTAAGGTCGCTGACCTTGTATGACCTTATGTGACCCGGTTCGCTAGATTTCGAGATGAGGTTGATTGGGAATGATGTAACCCATTTCGCCGACAGTTCACGCGTTTTGGTCGATTTTATAGCGAAAGATCTCAAACTCCAGTGACTTTACTGGTTCGATTTCCAGTGTTTGACCTGACCTCTGAGTTCACCCGTTGACCTAGTACCCTGAAATTTGGTATCACTGGTTTACTCACATCGCGGACAGCATACCTATTTTTTCCGTTCTTGCTCCGTCGAGGGGCGAACGGCTGGAGTTCACTCCGTTCACCCTGGCTTCCCCTACTCGTAAGACGCTGACAAACTACGAACGGGTGAGGGCTAAAATTGCACTTATTGTCGATCATTGTCCATTGCATACTGCATACATAGATATAAAGTATGGTAACCATAATGGGAAACGAATTTAATCTTAAATTAGCATGCCAATTGCATCTACCTTCGGTGCCGCATATCCTTTATCAGCGTCTTCAGGGCTATATGTCTAGGGCTGATGTAATTACATTACTATAAATACACATGTTTCTGCCCTTGTTTCACAATCTACTCATTCCAAAGAATGCCATAGGTAAAAAAGATTAACACTTTTCGGTCGAAAAATACCACAAAATCCGTCCCAAACACCCCCCTCCTCCCATAGTGTTTACACACTGCCGCAGATTCTCGCCCTCACCAACATGGCGGCCGCTGCTACGTATTCGCGAGTCGCTCCCGACATGGGGGTGCCCTATCTAGTCTTTATATCTATGGGCATTTGGGCGATCTGCTCGATCTGATAATGTTCCCCTGAATGTCCTAATTGATCAGTACGAGAATTTCTCTAGAGTTCTCGTAGATAATTTCTCTAGTTTCTGAAGAATTTTCGGGACCCATGCTCTTTTCATACTGGATGGAAATATATGCAAGGCACACATCCTCAACGCAAGACACCTTTTTCGGGACGAGAAATAGAATATCTTTGCCTAGGGTGATCGTTGGGCTGTAAAAGCTCCTGATTTATGCTCGTCTCAGCCCAAGCTACGGAACTGCTATTCCAGTTCAAAACCCATGTTAAAAAGTGAACTATTTCCTTTAAAGGGATTATCAGGGTTTAAAAATTGAAAGGAATCGGAATGTATTGCCTATCAGTTAAGTCTCCAGACTCTGCCGATTTCAACGATATGCATAAAATGCCTATTGATGCTATACTTTGCAAGTTATAGCCGTTTGAAAAACGACAAAAATGTACTTACTCCCGCAAAACAAGTACTTGAGCGGTCAGATTGGCCCATCACTATAATGTAAACAAAGAGCGGCCTTGCGAAATTTTGCGGGATTGAGGATTTCTACAAGATTTCGGTGATAGGCATTGGTTGTCGATATACGATGGATTTTTGGTGAAGAACTCGACTGAAATTGAAACAAATTGAAGATTTGCTTGTCTAAGGCAGCAAGATTTATAAACATCGCCAAATTTATCATATGCAATTGGAGCTTGTTTCAGTTTTTTTATAGCAAGGTCATGATACAATTTTCTTTCAATGGTAGATTCGTCATGGTACAGTACAATTTAAATGGTAATTTCGAGTAATTTATGTCATTGAATTGAAACTGCAAGTACATCCCACAAAAGAGCTTATCCTCTTCAATTTTCAGTCTTGATCTGACTGATAAGTGATTTGTCAAGAGTGCGAAAAGTGAGGTGACAAGAGAGCTACAGGTTTTTCAAGATTTAAGTGTTCTTGAATAGCAGGTTGTACAACATTGTGCTGTGACATAACCACTGGGCCTTGTGCCCCCTGTGACAGAGCCCCTGCATCAGCTGGTCTGACACGGCTGGGCTCGCAAGTCGCAAAGAACGTCTTGGTGCTCTTAATTATGATTGATGATTGTGATGTGAAAGGAGGGTACCTACATGGCAAAATACATTTGTATGTAATTTCTTGCCACAGTACCCACCTGCATGTACATTTTTGTTGTCTTTGTGTGAAAAATGAATATATTTTAAGGAAAATTAACGCATTTCTGTTTGAAGCATGCAGAAATTCAGGTGTGATGCTGTCCCGGCAACTCATGTGGAACAGAACAGGCTGCAGAGTGCCAGATCGTGCTTGAACAGAGAGAATCATCAGCTATCTACATATGCGCATGCTTTGAAGTTCCCTGCCTTTTCCCACATTCTACTTGCTAGTTGTGAAAAGGATCGGACAAGGCGAGGTACTCATGCTCATGGTGCCACCATGTGCAATTACTGACTGGTGAATTCGGTGGCTAAAATCCTTAACGCTCTATGGATAATTATTCTGCTCTTATGTTCAGTATGTTGATATCAGAAACTCACCAAGGTAACCTGCCCTGTGGCATTTCTTAGTTCAAAAATGTAAGCATTACACTCATCAGTCATGTAACTTGTATTTACATCCATGAACAAACAATGTGCAAAGGGGCTACCCAACAAGCATTACTGTCTACAGCGTAGCGCGTACCGCCTCCGCAAGGGGCGCGCCCCTCTACAATGGGCATGCGCGAACCCCTTCTCTGCAATGGGCGCGCCGGCGAACGTACGCGAGCGATCACGGGTCGCCACCACCAGCTGGCGACTGACGGCGCAAGGCCATAAAACTACGACGGCGGGCCCGGCAGCAGCGCGCGGTGTGGGGGGGGGGGGGGGGCGTTGGACACGGGATGGACGCACAGTCGCGCACCACGACCGACGGCGACATCACCTGCTGCGTCTGACTCGGCGAGCGCAGCTGGGAGCCGGCTGGAACAGACAGAGCGGAGTCAGCCGGCGGAGAGACCCGGGGGACGGGAGAGAGACACGGGCCAACAAACTGGGAGAGATTCGAACGCCCGCACGACAGCAAGGAGCAAACATGCCCGTTATATTCACGTGTCGATTGTCATGACGTCAGTCTTGAGCACAAGCTGACTTCATCCCTACATCCCGTTTTACTTACAATCATAATTGAGGTCCTGGATCGGTACATCGGCTCAGTCACCTGTTGACGGCGGCGCACAGCGTGACCTACCCGCCCTACAGCCGGCCCCAGCAGGGTGAGTAGTGAGTACCAATACCCGCCCCCATGCCAATGCCAAAATCACTAGCACTGAGAGTTTTATGGAAAAGCCCTCCTCAGTGGCCGGTATGAGCTGGCCGTGCGGCGGCCGCGACTGACCTGCGGCCGCTGAAGGTCTGGTGAGTCGGACGGGCACCTCCGGCACTGTCGGCAGGGCGGCCGATTTGAGCGCAGCGCTGTCCAGTCGGACTGACGGCAGCACAGAGACCAGCTGTCCGTGCAGGCAGTACCGGTGGCCCGAGTCGCTGCTGCTGCGGACCCGGCCCGGTACCGGCGCCGGGTGGTGGCCGGCCGCGGCCGGGAGCGGGTCCGCCGTCCGCTCCGCGTCCCCGGCCGCCCCGCCGCCGCTCTCTGGACCGGCCGGAACGGTGACGGTGACCGCGCTGATCTGAAGGCGCACCTCCAGACGCTCCAGGGCCGGCAGCCAGGCCAAAGTCGGAGCGGCGGGCGGCGCCGGCGGAGTGGGGGAGACGGCCGCCGCAGCGGAGGTGTTGGGTGACACTGCGGGTAGGTTCCTCTCCGTGGTGTGGCTCCGTGCCGATCGCGAGGTACCCGAGTGTCCTTGCGGCCGGGGCACATCCATGGCGGCGGCGGCGGCGGCTCGGGCGGCTGGGGTAGTGGCGGCGGCGCCGGGCCACTCAGCTGCTGGCCAGCTGAGTGGCCAGGGACAGCCAGAGCAGCAGTGCCGGCTGCCAGCAGAGCAGGGCCGGCTCGGAGACGACCACCAGCAGCGGGCAGCTGTCCGCGGCGGCGGCAGCTGTCGGCAGCTGCAGCAGCGCCCGTACCGCCCGCTCGCCGCCGCCGCCGGGAGCCGGCGCGTCGGCCGCCTGGGGCGCGGCCAGCACGGGCCGGCCGTCCAGCTGACAGCGCACCGGGCGGCGCCGGCCCAGCACCAGCCGGTCTGACACAGCCGCACGTCCAGGTCGCACAGGTCCGTCTCTAGTGGCAGGTCCAGCTGCGAGCCGGCCGGCTCAGCGCCGGCGGTCCCCCGTTCGTCGGCGCAGTGCAGCCAGTCGGCGTGGCACACCTGCTCTGTGAGCGGGTGCTGGGAGCCGGCCCACAGGGCCGGCGCCAGCAGCGCCTTCCAGTAGACCGAGGCTGAGGAGAGCGAGGCGACCTGGTGCTCCTGGGCGGGCTGGCCGTCGGCCGCGGTCGAGACCAGCACCGCCTGGTCAGCCGTCACCTGCGATAGGGCGCACGGGGAAAAGGGATACAGTCAGGAGCCGCGGCTGTAGTTATTCATTTCCAATCGACAATAGGGCATTGGGGCAGTGTTCCCGCCACTTCTAATGAGTAGTAATGTCGAGCCTACCACAGTGTACTTCACAACTAGAAAAC